ATGGAGCGTCAGTTACGCGGCCAATGAATGTCCAGACGACTCGCCTCGGCCCTTCTGCTATGGTACACTTGTAGCTTCACGCTGCTGGACATTTATCCGGATGTCCAACCTTGTGGTATGTGCGATTAGAGCAAGCGCAATGGGAGGGCGAGAATGCCGGCCATCCATCGATCTGTTGTCCAGTAGAGAAAATTGTCTGAATTCATCCCACCGCAACGTCAAGAATGTCGGTGTACCGACTCCAGCGGTCCGTCAACATTGCCTATAAGTGGGACGGTCTTTGTGTGTGGTTCTTTTTGATGATGCGAAACAGGCAAGCATAGTGGGCAGAATGGTTACATATGCGAACAATGATATGTGACGTAGCTGTTCTATGGAAATTATCGATACCAAGAATTAGCAGATCACGAACACAATTGGGCGAAGTTCACTCCACAGTAAAAATGTTATGGTGATAATTGGAGAGTCATCTTGAAGTACAGGTTTTAAGGATGGATTGCGACGCGCAATCCCAATATAGATCGCGATTCTCATTGATGTGAACCTTGGTCGTTCGATCACGAGGACCGTAGCTGAATCAGATAGCCATTTAGTGTTGCCCGCCTGAAAACACTACACACTTCAGGACGCATTTCAATCTTATTTGATCCCGTCGGATAGAAATAACACGTATGGAATTCGGAACCATTTGGATGTCATTTATGACCGTTACCCATAAGCTCGGTGGGTACAGTGGGTCACAGTACCATTAGTGTGAAATTGTATCCCCGGTTGACTCTCTGTTCCTTATGAGACATAATGGGTCTAGCGTTACTGGCAGAACACACTAGTCTAAGGGTCAGCCATCACCCGCTATGTGGCGGGTTCCACCCCCAGTTACCGTTAACTCTATCTGTATTGTCCAAACAAGGGAGGAACATGTGTCGGAGTGGAACGAGTAACACTAAATTCCAATTTAGGACCAGCGGTGGAGATATGGATTGGTGGAATCCGTATCCGGAGTTGCCTATCATTGTGACCACTACGAGACAGCCATAGGACGTATGCGCTTAGAGAGGGACCATAGGTGTCTTGCGCTGCGCCACACACAGCTCCATCCACACACCCCAAATCCAGTGTAAACCCGAAGGAATAAGACCGGCAGGCACGCGGATGCGAGCCATGTTCCATCAAGAGCGCCGGCCCGCACTCCTTCAACAAGCAGAGCAGAAGCATTCATGCCTAATTGGGGAACCATGCGCACCAGACATATACACACAAGGCGGTGGCTGTGCCATATCCCGTTCCACAATGGATGCGTGTAGCCACTCTTTGAGCCTATCACGGCACGAGGACCGTGCACTCCGCCCAGCCCCCTAACAACGATTAACAGTCTTCTGGAGCAAGTAATCGAGGTGGAGGGTAATAGACAGGTAGGCACTTTGTCAACAAACACATCAAGTGCAGTCACAACGGGGATATCAAAAATCTAAGGTAGAATTGAAGGAAACAAAACACGCAAGATTGCTTGTAAGTAGTAGGGGTTTATTTGATCTTTGTAAAGATTCGTCGCTATCAGACTCAGGTAGACGGCCACCACACATCCAGGAAAGCGTTAGACGGTCGTTTCGTCCTATTGGGACTCATCAGTAGCGCGCACTCGCCGAATCCTGCCGGATTCGAACCCACGACCTTACTATTTTGAGCCAATGACTTATGCCATTGCTCTATGGACGATGACAGCGGACTGCTAGGACTGATATCGAACTGCGATATAGCCGGGCCGATCCTCCACTACCATGCACGTTATGAATGTGCAGAGGACAACGCTGGCCACCAGAACAATGATTTTCTTTTCAAGCGGCCACCATTCGAGTTGGCATGACAGTGAAGAGTGAGCAGCACTATCTCAGTTAGATATCAGTCATGGCTGTCCGCTGCCGTCGCTCATGACTCAGTGGCATAAGTCGTTGGCTCCCAAGAGTAAGGTCGTGGGTTCGAATCCGGCAGGACTCGGCGAGTGCGCACTCTACTAACGAGTCCCAATAAGACGGAAACGGCAGTCTACCGCTTTCCTGGATGTGTGGTGGCTGTCTGTCTGAATCTAACTGTGACGAAGCTACACAAAAACGAAGATTGACGCGGAATATGCAATACACTAACAGAACTGAGGAAATAAAATATGGTGGAATACCTTCCATCCAGATTAGAAATATGTAAGTCGGTGTGGCCGACTGTGGTGAAGAAGCAGCATCAAACTCAGCATGAAGCGGTGGAGATAACGCATGTCCAGTAATACAAGGGGATGATTTGAGCGTGGGGGAATAAAGAGCACTGACGATGTTCAGGACAAATGGAAAATGGTCTCATGGTCAGCAAACAAATATCACCCCTGTAGTTACCATAGCTACCCTTGGAAATTGATAACTAGCAACTATCAAGTGGAGGCTCACCGTCTGATTTTAAAGCATAATCGAAGTAACCCATAATCACTTGCATTGCAAACTAACAAAAATTATTAAAACGGAACTGGACAGGATAAAACAACCTCAAGCAGTTACTTTGTTTGCTAAAAGTACATAGTAAGATGCATTTGGGCCGATTGCCTCACTACCAAAAACCAGCGGTTTAAAACTGTCAAAAGAACTGCGACTAAGCTGACTTTTGAGACAATAATTAAACTAAATTAACTCAGAAAGTTGGAAATTTCAAAAGAGTTACGATGAAGGTGGACGAAATAGTGATCCTGCACAAAATGTTACACTGAAAGTCGTTGCGATGACGTTAGCTAACGTGCATGTGAACAGACCGGTCCAAGAAACTACCTCTCATCCAATTATTGGCAATAGGCCACCAACGATCTTGACGATTGTAAACTAGCTCCAGATGCCTTGACAGATCTTTCGGTATCCACAAATCACTCAGAAAATGAAGTAATGAAATGCAAATTGCATATTTCAGTCAACATTTCTAAGCACATTGTGTAAAGTGGGCTAAAGATATTACTTAAAGTTCATCTACCTAACCAGCAGGGAAGTTTCCACTGCGACGCATTTGGGAACAGCCAATGCATACAGCCACCGACGGTCTTGCTGTCTTTTGTCTTGCGACCTTTACTGGATCGCGTAAGTTTATAAAGTATAGGTTTTATCAATTTACCCATCCAGAACACAGATTCCAGTACCCATTGTACACCATTAATCTCTGATTACAAGATATCTGCACAGGGATTGCAGCTTGCGATCGGGATAAGTATAACCCACTTTTAGATATGATGGGAAACGTTTCAATTTATGTAAACGCTATTAATATTTCAAGGTGATAAATGGTCCGTTATACTCAGAGAAAAGTCTACCTGGTACACGTGAGTAAGATGTAAATTTTAGCTCCAAGCGATTCATTATACTGAGGTTGTATCCAAGAAGTTTTGCATCATATACGGGTGGCAATTTTTGTCTCTGGATTAGCCCTCAATTCGCATTTGAACAGCCACGGACTGCTGCGTTACGCAGGGACCCAAATAGGAGACTTGCGCTGTACCACCTATGGGTTCCTCCACAAAGCTCATATACAAGGCAGACTAAAAATCCATGTAATCCATATGAGGCCCAGACTACTTATTGTGTCCTAGATCAATTGGCGGTTTTTGGAAGCTCGTTGCTCTGAGGGACTACCCTGTCTTCCGCACGGTATAAGCGTGTGAGTTAGTGGAGAATAAACCGCACCACGTCACAATTGTCGGCAGTTACTGCCCCCCCCCCGTCGCCCAGTGATCTCAGTCGTGCACTCGTAAGTGCAGGGCAGCGAGTTTTATCCCCACATGGGCCAGATGGAATGCGCACGGCCGACGATTCCCGAAATGATAAAACGGTGTACGTCACGACTACCCGACTGGGCATATTTGTGAAGAAAACAATTAGTTATCTAAAACCCCCTACTATTTTCGTGAACTCAGTGCGCAAGTGCTTTCACCATCTTGAGTTTAATAAAAAGTATGACTTATTCGGTACCAACCCACGTTCGTAAAACAGTAAGATGTGCAGCGTTGAGAAAGCTTAATCCAGAAAAGTATTGCTCTTCATGATACAGTAATCTAATTGACTATTTATTCCAAACTATTCGTTGGCTCCGATAGAGCGTGTATTTCAATGCACGCACGCAATCGGGTCTTCAGACTGAAATTAAAAGCTCGCTATGCAGCCGAATAGGTAAGCTATTCTTTGTTCTATGTTTCGATAAGACTCGACCGGAAGTGGCAGAAACGAAATATTCATTGATTCGAGTGTAGAAAGCATACATTGACCACTTCATTTCCTGTTTGAACCCTGAAAAATATTCGGCATCGTGTTTGAATTTAGTATGCAACTGTATCTTTTGCATGGCAGTGTTCAGCCAGTATCCGATATTCTTGATAGTTCTGTTTTTACTATGGTTGCGGAGAGATTCCGAGAATTTCGAACATCCTCGTCCACGCTAGCTCCGTTCACTACTACAACTACACAGATATATCGTGTCAGTAGCCGCCGTCACAGAGAAGATAGCTATGTGAGTCCTTAGCCAGGCGTTGCAAAATTTTTGGTCCGCACTCAACAAGATTCGGGTGAACCTGCTATAGCCATACGCTTCACTAGTGCAAGGTTACCTTCATCGGATCACTGGACGTTCTAATACTCCCCGAATCGAGTTGGTTTGGATATATCTCATTGGAAGTTGACGTTTGTCAATAACAATTCGCCATAGTATCATCACTAGTGCATCACTCAGTGTTTGCTTACCTGCGTAGATATTACAAGCGTTTGCGTTCGTTGACCCGCTAGTCCACCATCGTTTCACTATTGTGAGACTCTCTAGAGGTTTGGTAGAAGCAGTTGTGCATGACAAAAGTGTGCCTCATAAAAATTACACAATGTAGAAAACTATTCATTTACAAACAAGGTATATCCGTTATCACAGAAAGCTAAGGTAGATTTGACTTAGTTGTCAAATAAGGGAATGCGGAAATCTTCACACGGTCAGCTTACGTGATCGGTCCCACCCATCCAACGTCGGACGAAGACACTTCCCCAGTCTGACGTGATTTGGTCGCCTTGCCATCGTCGTCCTTTGTTTTGTGATGCCCTGAGGCTGACTTTCGCGACCGTATCATATTTCCAAGGGTTTTACATTGAAGGACACGTCGTACGCAGTCGTTCGTAAAATTGTGTTTGACTGCGGTGAAAACGTGTGACCGCAGAGCGATAACACACGACCTGCTTCGGTTATACGACTGATTGAGCGGCCGCCAGGCCCGCTCAGCCGAAGTCACTGAATGGGTAGTCAGATGTAAACTAAATCCAAGCCATGCACGCTAGTGTGGTAGGTGAACGTGCAGGGTGACCTACAGGCGCTTATCCAACGTTGATTGGTCGGTTATTGACCAATACTGTCTGCTCTCCGAGTTGCGGTCTAATATGCACGGTCGTTGAAGCGTTGATTTTAGACTACGAAGGCGACATTTCGGAATAACATGCTCATTCGAAACCCTTTACTACGTACATTCTGAAGACGGACAGATGAAGTAACTACAGAAATATGTACTTCTGCCTGCTGGCAACAAAGCGTTTTAGGTATTTGATGTTCTACCGCGCCGTAGTTGCTGTGGTGCAGACCCGATAAAGTAGAAGTCTTTGAAGCCTTCCAACGTACCGTTAACACGTTGACACGAATGAACATGGAAAGATCGCTTTAACACCACTAACTCTTGTGGCAAGTGAATACACTCATGTGGTGAGCACACATTTAGCATGAGCAGGACGGCCTGAGGTGGATGACGCCGTGTCAATTGACTGTAGCTAATGGCAGAAGTTAACCCGCTAGGAGAAACTTGGTAGTCAGCTAGAACACAGTCGCGCTATTATTGACTATATTCCGTATTCTGGGGTTTTTATCCAGTTTATTTTAATGGACGGTGGCTGGATGCTCAGCTCAACGGAAACAAATCTTCGGAACGTTATAGGAGGTAGCATTTCCGGTGATACCGGAGTTTCGTATTTTGATTAGTTAAACCTAAACTACTAAAGCTCTAAGCGCCACTCTTCTCGTTGAATCTAGTAAGTTGATTTTGCTTTTAGTTGCATTCACTAACACAAGGGACTCAGTCAAACTAGTAACATACGGCCGTGACCTGTCTGGGCAGTCATTTCCTTTCTGGGACTTAATAGCACCGGGTGCGGCGTTCTAAATGGTATAAGATGGACATGTGGAGTTCCACTTGCTAGACACTCTTTGTTACCACCAGGTCAATGGAATCGAAAGCATTGGGTGTGGCCAAGCAGCTTATCTAGACATCATTTAACTCACTCACTTCTAAGATGCTTCTAGCTGTGAAGTGTTTAGATGCGGAGCAGTCGCTAGTCACGGAACTGTTCTTGTCCTCCGCTATAGCTTGAATGGTACTTCGTGTAATGGCGGTCACGTAATCCCATTATCTGATGTTGGTAGCGGTTGAATCGTAGCATTAACACGGTGGTTATCAAAGTGAATATAACTATGGTTAACTCCTTTTAACCTAACTATACACCTTACTAACGCACCGTTTACATAGGTTTTCATAATTGAACAGGAGCAATGGGAGTTAATCAAGCCAGTAGTTCATAACCCGGTCACGATTTCAGAGTTATAAATTTATGGGCGCTATTAATAAAAATTCTACTATTGTGCGAGTTGGATTGCTTAAATAATTTTCATAGCTCTTGGTGGTTATCAAGAAAGCCCACAGGCTAAAATGAATCCGTGTGTGCTAGGAGCCATGGAAAACACTCCAAAACCAACGATAAGCCACCCTTGTATAGAACTTTGGAAGCAATCGATTGGACAAAGTTTCGCTTTTGACAGGAGAGCTAGTTTGCTTAAATGAAGTGAGACATAATTGCATTGCATACTTAAGCTACTCAACGGCAAGAGCTTGGTACAATCACACTTCAGGTTTGAAGATGCTTCGATGTTGCCGCCCCCAACACTAACATCCCACGACCGACAGTTTCGTCCTCGTTTGCACTCATCAAGTGGAGATGGTCTGAGTTAGAGTGGAACTAGGGACCTCGTAGTTAACAGTAGACTGAGATCCGTGAACAACGCTCGTAACTCCAAGTGTTGCAGACAGAGTGAGAATGTTCCAGGCGGCCTACCGTACATCACGTCGACAGACAATGCTTAATGGATGGCAATGGTGATAGTGACTATGTTGGGGTTATTCGACACTAGTCACCTAAACGTGTGCATTCAATGGTCATTTGAATGATTGACTTAAGATGATTCACTACACAGTCGTTAACTCAATCTCTTCTCTTCTTCGCGCAAAGCTGTTAGCATCTATGGTTTTCAGCGTCAGGCCGAGAAGACGTCCAAAAAAAGCAAACCAACACCTTGGCCTTTTGCGGAGAGCGTTCGGGCGTCTTAATCTTTTAATCTTCTCTCACATGCCTAATGTCTACCTTAAGCCCCATTCTGATTATGCTATTCACGCCTGACAGCACTGGCACAAGCGCGACCTCACAGCACCTAAACTGCTACAACTAAACTAAACTGTTATCAATAACATAGAATATCTGTTTCATCGCCCTTACCGACTGAGATAGCGAACCCTTGGGGTCTATAGTGGACAATATAGACACCTGCTTGGAGATTTGATAATGACATATTTGGTTCTAAGAAATCCAAACCACGACTGTACTCCTCTTCCAAAGCCGAATCACAATACTACTCCGAAAGATCACCAGCTAACGCTGACCCCACAGTATAGCGCTTTGGGTTGTCGCCGGAATTTCTCTTCACTTCGCGTGTGCCCACGTTGGAACTCCCCACTTAAATTGTTTCTTCTCCAAAACTAACGGCATTCAAAAAACGTCTCAAAAGTGCACCCATATATTACGCCATATAATCTTCTATATCCGGGCATCAACCTAGTACTACAAATCAACGTGCGCATTTTCACCTTCAACACATCATTTGTTAAAGGCTGCTACTGGATTTATCTATCCCATAAACCCAGAACAGCAGCATACGAGTAAGGGTCTCCATTTCTCTTTTTTCTTTTTTTCTCATATACAATGTGGACTAGCTCCACTCCCTATATTGCTTTGTGTGTGCACATCCAAGTCTCATTTCAAGCTACCATTATACATCCGTGCAGTTAAATCTGTAGTCGCTTAAACTCACGATTCATTTACCTTTTGTTCTACTTTCTCGTTCAAGCACTTTTTTAACCCGTGATTAACCATTGTTCATTGTCCCCGCAACGTCACTCGAAACCGTCGGACACTGTTCGCATTTTCCGATGTGTGCCATTTTGGGATATACACAAGTTTTATCAACTCACTCATTAACTTTCCGTATGCAGACCTATTCTTCGGAGGTCATGAACAATGTCTCCTGTGTTCTACACTAGTCAAACATGACGCTTGTTGATACATGCGTAACCGTACACTGTTTTTTACAGATGAACTGATGGACATGGTTATCCTACCTGTGGCAAAGGATGGTCCTTTTAATGAGTAAGAGCCAACGCGGGGCCCCACCGTTTTGAAGATTATCCATATTTTCCTTCGGTATACTACATTTCGCAACTCTTCTGACATTGCATGTATAGATTCTCTACCGTTCCTATTCACAGCATATTGGACATTGACTGTGGTGTTAGCACTTTCATGCCTGATATGGCGTGCCTCGAACTGTTCGAGAATAAACTTTTACTTATTCACTTTTTTATTTATTCTGCAACTGGCGTTTCCTCAGCCGTCGTTGATGCGTACGGGCCAGAAATTTGACTATCATCTGTTTCCGCGTGACCCCCTCGCCCTCTCCCATCGCGTACAGATTCTGAGTTCTGAAGATCAGCACAGAGACAATTCTGGCGTGAAGCTACTACAAATGACTTGAAAGGTATTTAAATACCTTATTGACATTTATAATTTTCTAATATTGGTTGTCCTACTTTTTACTGTTAGTAATGATGCGTTGTATATGTGAGGGATCGATACAGCCTCTTGTTATGTTATTTTTTATTAGATTAGTTCCCCACATCCAGAGACACACAAAAGATACTCCCCAATAAAATCAACAACCGTTCCACCTTGTCACTTGTTGGGCTGTTGCCTAATCAATGACAGCCGTACGGAAACCCATGAATTCGGCAATTAGGTTGTGATTTGTAAGGAATAAGTGGCGTGGTACAAGCGAATAAATCGGAAGGGAGCTAGCCAACCCAGAACGGACTTTTTGCACGGTGCCGATTCAGCTACTCAGGTACAGATGTAGCGCAAGAAAGACCAAAATCCGGAAAAGATGACCACAATGGGAGGGAGACGAATGAAATGAATAGTGCCTTGAGAGACAGAATCCTGTGCCTTGAGCATCTTTGCTGAGTTAATACATATCTTTCCACACCGATTTGGGTTTCTACAACATGGCTAATATGGGGTCTGTTTCTGACCGCCGATCTTGGAATGCAAGCAGGTGAAACGGGGGCCTCCAGGGTGTGACTAAATCACCGCCCACCCACTGATGAACTGGTCCACGGGACACAGAATCTTAGCAAATGCTGCATTTTTCAATACTCCAGTAAGGAACGACAGTTTCCCACATATGGTACTAGAAGTAACGACCTCAGATGGGAAGGTATCTTGTCAACACTGTACCCAACAATCATACAAAATCCATTATTTCACATATGCATGTAGTTCGAGTACGCGGTTAAACTCCACTGCAGCCCATGTAATATGAGACTTCCATTAAGAATTTTCGCTCACCGTAAATGAGGCAACTTTTGGGGATTATCTGTTAGGTCTCATTTAATCACTAAGTCATTGCCTCTGTCTGCATCGAATACTGAACTACAAACCTGAACGGATGACTGTGAGATAAAACGAGGATCGCACGAATTAATTTATTTTCGTGTCATGTCCCACAATCCATCAGACCGAATCAAATGCGCCACCAACAACTTATCTGTTAACGGTTAACCATCAAGGTATCTATTCCATAGATATTCATAACGCATGCTCCGTGATTCATGGTCGACCTTAGACGGATTTGAAATCAGCTTAAAGTCGAGGCTACCTGAGCACCAAAAGTCGTGAGGAGTGCTTACATTAAAATCCTACTGAGGCCAGGTAGCTCAGTGGTAGCTCATATGTCGTAGTCAGTAATCGTTTAAGCGTCGAATGTTGTCATACAGCCGATGGCTGTCATACTGGCTGTGTATTACTACACGCTAGTGCGTATCTCGCTTCCCGATGTCCAACAAACATGAATCTACCCTGTAGGAGCTTTTTG